CCGTGAGAGGGGGCCGGGGAGGTCCGGGGGGTGATTGACAGTCGCTTGTTTTAAACACCCGCCATTAGCCAGAGTAGGGCCGTGGTAAACAAAACAGCCAGGGGTTTTCCTTTGCCGCGTGGTTGTGGGGGAGCACTCAGCAGGGGCTGGGCTTTTAGGAAGGGAGACTTTCTCGGCGCTTTTGCGTAAAAAGGGTGTTTTGGGAGGTTTTTGCGAAGAAGCGGCGCCTCTTCTGCTCAGCTCCATCGTAGCGCCGTGGTGCCTCGGCGTGTGTTTTGCTTCTGCGTCTGTCGAGCTCCTTCTGGTGCGCGGTGGGGGAAAGTGCTGTTTCAGGACAAGCTGGTTTTGCTGAAAGTTGTGTTATTCGCTTGGCCGAGTGGCAGCTGCGAGGTTCTCACTTCGGTTCAACTTCAGGCGTACCAGGCTTTGATGTCTTTTGCTTGTAAGCTTAAAAGACGCCTTCTGATAGAAACAATGAGGAAGTGAGACAGATTGGTGTCACTCAGCCTTGCTTCCTGTGTTTTTGATGAGACGCGTTTGTGGTTTTGTTTTGTTTTTTTTTTCGGGGGGGGGAACTAAACACTAAAACCCACTTTATTTTCATGGCTTTAATCGCTAAGCTGTGGTTTTCCCACCTGGAAAAGAACTGAGAATACAAATTTAGTCTATAAGCTGGTGCCAGAGATGCTGTGAGAGTTAGTACCTCTGTTTCCCTGTCTTGTTGGCATTGTGGTTCGAGCCAAATCAAAGGCTTTTTAAGCAATTTTCTGACTGCTTGAAGGAAAGTGGGTTTCTGATTCCTTTCAGATGGCCTTATCATAAAGTTATTGCAGCATGCACAAAATGACCTTTTGTAAAGGTCATTCCACTGAGCACTTGAAAGATCTGATAGTTTAATTCAACAGGGCAGAAAGTAAATAGTTATTCAGAGGGTCAGAGTTTGGAAATTAAATGGCATTTGTAAATCTGAAGGGGAAAAAAGATACAAGATCACAGAATCATAGAATGGTTTGGGTCAGAAGGGATCTTAAAGATCATCTAGTTCCAACCTCCCTGCCACAGGCAGAGACACCTTCCATTAGACCAGGTTGCTCAAAGCTTCATCCAGCCTGGCCTTGAACACCTCCAGGGATGAAGCATACACAACTCCTCTGGGCAACCTGTTCCAGTGTTTCACCTCTCATTGTAAAAAATGTCTTCCTTCATTTTGCATATCATTTAGATAAAGGTTTAAATATCTTATACGTATCTAAAAAGGTTTTAATATCTCCTATGTATTAACTTGTAAAGAAAGAATATCTTGTATAATATGACCAGGATAGCTTGCATCTACAGCCTTCTACAGGTGGATGTAGTTGTATGCAAGTGATGAAACCTGTGCTTTCTTTGGTAGGCACTCCATGCTGCCCCGTCACATGCAGAGGCTGGGCAGAGACTGGATCGCCCACTGGAATGGTTCTCAGATACTTGCCTTGAACAGCCCAGTTTCCAACTGTATGAGATGGGCCGGACACTATCCCTGGGCCTCGTTTCCACTTCCTGTTCCAGTTGATCTCTCAACAAACTGGAGAGTTCCTCCATTTTTTGGACCTTGGAGACAATTTCAAAACTCTAATTGGCAGCTTGATAACTTCACGCAAAGTTCTTGCTTTCACCTACCTAACCCCAGTATGAAATCTGAGGGAGAAGAACCATTGACAAAGAAGAGAAGACTCAGTGGCCAGCATGATACTTCGACTCCTGAAGAAGAAACAAACTTCACTAATCAGAAGGAAGCATTGTGTCTTTCTGTAACACAGAATGAAGAAAAACATAGCAGCAAGAAAGGTAAAAGATCTTCTTTGCTTGTTTTCCTTGTTTATTTGTAATGCTAAACACATCTAACAAGTTATAAGCAATATTGCCTGCTCCTTTTGAGTTACTGTTTTTCTTGGCACCTCTCTCATGAAAACATCTGTCTTAAAAATGTTAAGAGTTTTGTAATGCTGTTTAGTCTGTAAACTTGTATTTTGTGCTTTCAAACAGTCTGCCAGAACTAGATTCACAGCGTTTGGCAGTAGAACACAGTGGATTACACGAGGGCTTGCCCAGCTGGGGATTCCTGCGCTTGGTTCAAAATTGTCTGTTGCCACATCCAGTCTGTCAGCTGGGGAGCTCTTTTAAAGCAAAGAGATTTAGCTAACTTGCTGTAGGGCTGAGCTGGCCTGGCAGTTGTATAGCTTCTTTCCTTGTACTGTACCTGAGCTCATAAGCCCTGCTGGACCTGACTTGGCTTCTTTCTGAGCCAGCTGAATTATCTGTGACCTAGAGAACTGAGAATTAATGGACTGAGAATTAATGGACTGAGATTTAGTGGTGTTTGCTTCCAGTGTGGCCGTGTGATTTGGTTTTTACAACTGTATTCTGCCACTGGCATGTTAGCAAGTTTTGTGTCAGACCATGGCTAGGAAAGCAAATGGCAAATGCACTTTTCCAGATAAATACAATAAGAAGTGCAAAGATGTCTACCCAACTCAGTAACATACTTTCATGAAACTTGGAAGTGTCTCCTTTCAGCTTATTACAAATGTTATCTTCTACATAGCATCCAAATGTTTTACTGAGTATTGTGGATATTGACAGTTTTGTTCACTGTGAAACAGATAGAGGGGCACAGTCAAAATTGATCCTGTCTTGTATGAATCACTTCCTCAAAAAAAAAAAACCTGGAAGTTATATTATGACTGAAAGGGCAACTGATGCCATCAGCATCCCAAAGGGATTTTTGGACACAAATATCCATAAGGCTTAGAAGCATCATGCTCACCTTCAGGAGCTGAAGGAAGGAAGTTTGCTATGTGCCTTTATTGCCGAGTCCTCTCTCAACCCCCTTATCAAGTACATTTTGACATACCTTTACCTGAGAGTAGTTAGCAGTATGGTCCTTCCTAGTTATCTTTTGTTTGCATCTTGTAAGGTGACAGTAATTAAAGATACCTTCTGAGGAGCAACATGGCCTCTCTCCCACTATAGAAACAGTACTTAAAGCCTTACTATGTTTATTGCAAATACTAGATAAAGTCTGAATAATGTAAGCACAGCAATGAAATTTACTACCGAAGCAGGGCGGGTACTAACAGCTATAGGTGCAGTCTGCCAGTAGTTGATTGCACAGATAACCAGACCTCGGCATGCTCTCGGATGAGGTGAGACATAAAGGCTGAAAGGCTTCTTTGTTCGTGAGTTTTGTGAGTGGAGAAATGCATATCTGAAAAATAATATAATGGTAATGGTTAATAATAATCATATAATGGTTACTAATAGTAAGTATGAAACTAGGAATGGCAGAAAGGCAAAGTAAGCTTTTTCAGAAGTTCTTGGTAATTCTGAGGCTTGTTAGTTTTTTAATTTCTCAACCTCACTGAGGGAAATCGGGTTCATTACCTGTTTTAGGACCCCTGTAATGGACCCTGTTGCAGCTGATGACTGAGTTTGTCAGACTATACACGGGCTAGATGTGAACCTCCGTTCCTAAGACTCTATTAGTCATGGATAGAGAGATCAACAAGATGCCCATATGCTGCTCTAAAGGTTATATCCCAGGCTGACATACCCTATCTCCACTGAGAAGGTAGTGGCAGAAGGGAACGTAAGACTATGTCAACAGACTGGATTTGGCTTACCAGTTCAACAGCCTTTCTACAGGGAGCAGGGTGGTGTAGCGTGACTGCAACAATCTCCTTAGGACATGCCAGTTTCCTAATTTCTAAGCAGTTTCAAATCCAGGGCATATAATGGTTTTGTGCTGTGTTTTGTTTTTTTTTTTGAGTTTGTATTGGTTTTTACTGATGCTTATATAAAGCTCATTTTAAACAGGAGTCCAGATCACTGCTAATCAAATAAGCTTTTAGCGTTGCTTAAGCAATTTGAAAGGCAAATAGTTGTCAGTAGAATGATTTCTAAGAGCAGTAGAAGTCATATGGTGTATTACATAACTCTTTCTGCTTCGTGTGTTTCTAACAGGAACAGTCAAAAGACACTGGGAGTATTTCTGTCAACATAGTAGGACGACGAAAATCTGTGAAAATAAAGAAACTGACCAAAGCAATGCAGAAAGTGAGGCAAAATTTGATTTTACAGTCATGTCCTACAATATCCTCTCACAGAATTTGTTAGAAGATAACTCCCACCTGTACAAACACTGCAGGCAACGCTTGTTAATCTGGACATACAGATTTCCCAACATCCTACAAGAAATCAGACAGCTGGATGCAGATGTGAGTAGAAAATGAGCATGTGGATGTTTCTTAAGAACTGATAAACCAGAGTAGCGAATTGTTGCTGTTCTTTATTTTGATAAGTGGACTGTCTAGTGAATCCAGCTGAGCTTTTAGTTATGTCATCCTTAACAGTAGTTTTGATTTATGGTTATAAAATTAATGTATTCTGTGTGATCTGAACTTACAGCAAAGGCAAACTCTGCTGTATATGTCACTCATAGTTGCTTTTTTTTGTCTATAACTTCCCGGAATGGTCTTTTTGACATGACTTTGTTCTGCTGATACATTACAATTTTTTTATAATTTCAAAATCACCTTTCATCACATAAAACTTTCTCAGTCTGTGCCTAGAGTGCTGTAAATAAGTCATTGAACATAAGAACAGCTGTACTTGCATGGGCCAAAGGTCCACCTAGTTTAGTGTCATGTTGGTAGCAGTAGCTAGTGGTAGCTGCTTAGAGGAGGAGAATAGGGCACCTTTCTCCAGGGGATAGTCTCAACTTCGAGGACTGTACAGTTTAAGAAGCTCCAGCACTGGAGGCTCTTTAATTGTGCCATAAGTTATTTAGTGTAAAGGACATGCAAGACCAAATAGTAGGTCATTATTCACAAACATTTTGCACACCGGGCTTTTGTGGATGAAAAATCGTATGCATGCACACAGGACAGTCAAATTAAGGCAACCTCCAGGACTGGCATTTTCTAACTTCCAGGTGTGAGACTTTGACTTCATGTTTGTTTAGGCAGTAGTTACACCAAGTGTCTGTATACTCAGTGAATTAAAAGTCCCTTTCTAAAATCTGACTGCTCATCCTTCAGAGCCGTTTCTTAGATCAGGTAATGGAGAACTTCTAATCATGTCTTAAGTCCTTTATTTGGAAGACGGACTCAAATGTTTTCCTTTTTTTGAGTTGTACAAGTACTGGAGTAATGATACTGCTATGTGAATCTCCATTTTCTTGAGATTAGTGTTCAAAGTTGAGATAAAGATGCAGATGTTAATACTATTAATGTGAGACTGACCCAAAAGTATTCCTCTCAAGTGTTCATTTATCTCTTCATCTGATATTCTGCACTATTTGACTTGTGAACAGGCTTGCTGTTCTTTACTGAAACATAACTCTGAACTTCTGTTCATATTAGGGTTTGAAAAAATACCTTACTGTGTTCTTGGTTGGTTGTGGGGTTTTTTGTTTGTTTCTGAGGACAGTTATCACTTATTGGTAATCAGGAAGTCAAGTCATTAAACTTTTCACTTCATTAAAGGTTTGGTGATAGAATCCAACCTGTTCATGTCAGAAAACGGTATTAAAAAAAATCCAAGTAGTTGTATTAGGAAAGCCACAGAAAAACTGCTTTGTACTGTTTGGAAAATGCAGATACGTTAGTACATAGCCAGGAAGCTGGAGATTAAAGTCCCCTTCAAGCTCTTCCTTTCTTCCTCATAAATTTATACATACTGTATATATGTATGTATCTTTACGGTGAGATACATTAGTGGGCTTTCTGGGAGGAGCATTGGGCAGAGGGAGCCTGGTGTGAGAATCTTCCTGGTGCTATTAGTGGTTAACAGACAGTTCTCCAGCATGGAAGGGCTGGAGCCAAAGTCACCCCCTCTAGCAAAGAGCAGTTCAGTTCAGGGTACTTGCTGAGGTCTGCGCAGTCACACAATGCAGCACCCGGGTAGCTAGCAAAGAGCAGTTCAGTTCAGGGTACTTGCGGAGTCACACAATGCAGCACCCGGGTAGTGAGCTGATTCCTTGTATTGCATGGATTGAGTCATGGTGAGCAGCTGCTCGCAGGCTCTCGTAGGTGCAGGTGCCCTTGGTGCAGAGAAAGTTCTTGCTGAAGGACGTAGACTTTAACTGATGCATTGCTTTGAACTGTAACCTTAAAGTGAAGCAGAGACTTCCGAATATTGCTTGAGATTTGATTCTCCTTTGAGACCTTGAATAAGCTAGAGTCAGCTGGGTAAGCAAAGTCTGTTCCTTAGGCAGTACTTGCTTGTTGCCCTTCAGGAACTCAGTCCTTCATCAGAGCCCCAGGGTGTTTGTAAATCTGTGTGTTACTGCAGTGGCCAGGGAGAAGATTCCAAGATGCTCAGAGCTCTCTTAATGGAGTATTTTGAGGTTGATCTTTGGTTCAGGTTGTCATAATATGGAAACTTGTCCATGCTGTAGTTAATTAAAAGTGTGCCCTTGGTCTCTTCATCCCACTGCTCTGGCATTTAGCCGTCTCCTAAACTGCTGAGAATGTATTAGCAGGTCCCTACTTTGATTAAATTTAATTTCACTTCTGAAAATTTATGTCTGAGAAGTGAAGAGGGCCTCAACTGCTCTCATCCTAATCTTAAAGAGCATTTTCTGTAGGAGAGTGAATCCTTTCGTGGGATTATGGAGACAAAAAGCCTCTGAATTTTTTGTTTTTTTTAATACCTGTGTAGACTGGCCAATAGAGATATGATATGTAATATTTTAATATACTTACTATTATCTTGTAATTGTAAACTTTTGCCCTAGGTACTCTGTTTACAAGAAGTCCAAGAAGACCACTATAGAACAGAGATCAAGCCAAGTTTGGAATCCCTGGGTATGATGAAACTCTCAGGACGCATACATTGTCTTCCCCCCACCCCAGTACTATTTTCCTCAAAAAACTGTTTTGGGTTATAGAATCAAGTCTCCTGCCATCATATGCAACAGTGTTGTGTAACCTCTTTTATAAAGTCATCAAGTGCTTTCTTGAAACTACCTTAGTGTTGTCTACCAGTATTTCTGTTGGATAGATTTTTCTAGGATATGTCTTTTCTGGCTTGAAACCTTCCAAGTATCGGCACTAGATGTTATCCATGGTCAGTTTATATTCATTAGTGTTTATACTGGTACTGTCAGTCAGCCTAAATAGCGCTGCCTTATCGCTCTCCCATGTGAATTTATGTTAAGGAACATGCTGCTAGAGCTGTGATTCCATGGTGGTTTAAAGTGATCTAAATCTTTTGTGGCCTACACCTCTTTCCAGTCCCAGGGCCCCGCTCTCTTCCTGGCACTGGTACGTGTCTGATGCCAGGAGGAGTCAGTTCAAGGAGCAGCACTGGACTGATACTTTTTTCTTTCTTGGTTAGTTGGTGATAGTCTAGCTCCCAGAATTGAGTGTTTCTAAAGAAGGTAGAGTAACAGCAGTACTGATTTAAATACACTTGAAATGTGAAACAGCAATATAAGGCCAGGCTCACGTGGGCAACTGAGCTTCCTACTGCCAACATGAAGAACTGGAGCTTGTTGTAACTCTTCCTCTTCCCCTCCTTGCTCCCAGATTCATGTCCTGCCCCTTCTCCTAGGCTAGTTCTGGCACTCACTAGACCTTTACCTTGGTGAAATCCACCAGTCCAGCAGAATGCTGTCCAGACTCCTGTTATTTTCCTGGATTAGTTTTCTGTTGGCTTACTGAGTTAACAGTAAGTGGCACAACAAGTGGCAGGAGCACTTGGCCTGGAGCTGAGGGAGAGGAGTGGGAATCCCCTGTTCCAGCCCTGATGTGCACTCAGAGGTCGACCCACTTCACTTCATGGGGCTGTATTACTTGCATTCATACGGCATGGGCTTGGCAGAGAAGCATTTTAAAACAGCAAAAATTAGATACTGTTTCAACATCATTAGTTTTTTCTTACATAGGTATGGTCTCATTAAAACCTGCATTTCACCTCTACACAAAATAAAGGCCTTTGCAAATTACTGTTTTCAGATGGACTTGTTTGATCTCTGATACTGTCATTTGATAAATGTCTCAGTTTCCCTGTTGAAAGCTTGCCTCTTGCTGCTAACTGGATAATTACGTAATTGTGGATAAAGAGATGTTTGAGACCTTTGTTCTATGAATCATTTTAGACAGTGATTTATGACTTATAGTGATTATTGCTTTTGACTGGAATGCTTCACTGGTATTATTCCTAAACCATTGTGGTAACATCCAGAAAAACTTCAATACACAAGTCCACTTTTATGTGACTTGTGGGGTTTTTTTTGTAGTTTTGGTTTGGGATTTTTTCCACATAAGAAGAAGAAAATGCCTAGTATCTTAAACTATGTAGATACTTGCACATCATAAAAGGTACAAGGCCAAGTTTCCTGTAGTATCTAAGCTGAAGCTAGACAGGAAAGAAAGCCTGTGAACTTTACATAGTCTTTGGTAATCCAGACTGGGTGTTGACTGCATAGTGAGAAAAGTAGTGTGAGGCTTTTCCAATTATATATTTTTTTAAATAATCTCTATTTATACAATGGTATTTTATGTTTTTAATTACCTTTCTTGCAGGGTATCACTGTGAGTATAAAATGAGGACAGGGAGAAAACCTGATGGCTGTGCTATTTGCTTCAAAACTTCCAAATTTAGCCTGATCTCATCAAACCCCGTGGAGTTTTTTCGCCATGATATTCCGCTCTTGGACAGGGACAACGTTGGACTGGTGTTGCTTTTGCAGCCTAGATTTCACTGTAAAACTAATGCTGCAGTCTGCATAGCCAATACGCACCTGCTGTATAACCCAAGGCGAGGGGACATCAAACTGACCCAACTTGCAATGCTCCTGGCAGAGATTGCTAGTGTTGCCCCTCAGAAGGATGGTATCTTCTGTCCCATTATCATCTGTGGTGACTTCAATTCTGTTCCTGGTTCTCCACTGTACAGATTTATAAAGGAAGGGAAGTTAAATTATGAAGGACTTGCTATAGGGAAGGTAGGCTATACTTTTCACTTCTCACAAAAAAAAATATTGTTAATGCTGATTAAAGAGAAATATTTAATTTCTGTGGTGCTAGCATGCCATAGCAGGGCTTGAGATTTGTTTCCATTGCAGTACCAATCTTGGTGCCCTTTATGCAGTCTGCAAAGCAAAAGTTACTGCGGAGTTCCTAAAATAAGCTTGGGTATATTAGCTGTGCCTGACAGAATATTGAACGTGCTTCTAGCATTCCGAAATTAAAAACTCACAAACAAATTAAGTGTTCTTGAAAGGTAGTTCTCCACAGGATGATTGTATCACTGTGCTTAAGTGTCCCAGTCTTTAAGTAGGATAAAATACCTACTTCATCAAATATCTACTGTGTACTCCATGGAAAGATGATTCTTATTTTAGTTAAACTTTGAATTACAGTGGTTAGAATAATTGTAGAAGCAAAAACACAATTAGATGCTGAACCTAAACTGTTTCAGGTTAGATGTTTTTTTGTTGGAAGCTCTTGTATGTACCTGCTCAATGTGTCAAATGCTATTCAATAGAAAGTAACTGGAGTACATGCAATGAGAAAACATGGGAAAAAAAAAAACAACATAGCCCCACTGGTGTTTGTTGCTAGTGGGTAGTAGTTTCAAGACCCACTTCGACTTGATTTGCTCCCAGAAGAATCAGCATCATGAAGATAAAGTAAGTGTCTCCTAGGGAGCTATATATACTCAGTCCTTTTATGTTGCTAAAATTGGTCTTGGTAGTCTCTCAGCTTAGTGTTACAAGAACTATCTTGAAAATTGGGTAGCTGCAAAACACTTGGTAAGAGTAAACAAAGGGGGTGTACATAAGGGGTGTTGTTATTTTTACAGAGATTTGACAAGCCATTATAAAAGATTTATTCTAGGGGTCTGGGGTTTAAACGTTGCCAAAAAAAAGAGTCTGCTCATTTTATTTTTTTATTTTTTTTAATCAGATTTCTGTCTGAATAAAGCTCATGTTGTCTTTCTTAGGTCTCTGGACAAGAACAGTTTCCAAGGGGACAAAGAATCTTATCCATTCCAATTTGGCCAAAAAAATTAGGTATTTCGCAAAACTGTGTATATGAAATAAAACAGCAACAAAAAGAAGAAGATGCAGGTGAGTTTCTAGGTTGATGAATTTTGTGGTCCTTTGGAAGTATCATTCAGGTAGCACTGAAAAACAGATCTGTTCTAGTGGGGGGAAAAAACAGCTTGCAAAACTGCCTTGTTGGGCTCGTTAATGTGTAAAGTGATTTGTTCACATAAACATTTGCGAATTTGAATCTTTAGAATAGAAATTTGTATTCACCAGGAGCTGGTGTGAAATATTTGAACTGAGTTTGCATCATGAAAGCCAGTTGTGCTGTGACTGGGAAAAGAGAGATGGAGGAATGCAGCACATGTATGTAGCATGAACCTATGTTCTGCTTCAGTGTTTATGTATTACAGTGCAGGCACTTTATGGAACAAGTGGAAAAAGCAAGTGGTTGCTTGCTGAGTATTATTACATCTTTCATCCATCATTTTTTCTTTGACAGAAAAACAATTTTAAATGAATGGAACATAATTTGAAAGGTCTTTGGAGGGTATCTTACTCATGGAACAGAAGAATTTAATCCAGCTTTGTGAATTGTATCTTGCCTGCTGAAAAAAAAATAAGTCTACTTAAAGATACCTTTTTCTGTAGCTTTTCAATATTGGTCTTGCCTATATCCTATTTTTAAATGTAAATTGAATGTATTTTTATTTTGCAGGAGAAAAATTGGAAGCAGCAAAACTGGACAATGCTCAGGAGATTGTAATAGCGCCTGAAAAGTATGTGTTGGGGGGGAAAAAAATAGAAGCCCTTGACTGGTTCCTAGTTTACCAAACTTGTATCTGATTCCAGGTGTGAATACAAGATGCCCACCCAACCCAGT